TGAATAGATAAGGGTAGGTGTGTGTGTGTGTGTGTGTGTGTGTGTATGGATATTAGTCAGCCATGAAAAGAATGAAATCTTTCCACTTGGGACAAAACAGACCTTGAGGGTGTTAAACTAAGTGAAATAAATCAGACAGAGAAAGACAAATACCATATGATCTCACTAATATGTGGAATCTAAACAAACAGGTTCATGGATTCAGAGAATAGATTGGTGGCTGTCAGAGGTAGGGGTAGTGGGCAAAATGGGTGAAGGGGTTTAAAAGGTACAAACTTCCAGTTAAAAAAATAAAAGAATCCTGGGTATGTAACCTACAGCAAGGTGACTATAGTTAATAATACTATATCTCATATTTGAAATTTGCCAAGAGAGTAGATATTAAAATTTTTTATTACAAGAAAAAAAATTGTAGTTATGTCTGGTGTTGGATGTTAACTAGATTTATTGAGGTGACCATGTGGCAATATATACAAATATTGGATCCTTATGTTGTACATCTGAAACTAGTATATTGTTATATGTCAATTATACCTCAATAAGGACATTTTAAAAAGTAAGGAAACATTGCTAATTTGAAGTTGACTTGCCATCTTATTTGTAGAGAAATTACTCAAGTTAATGACATTAAAATTTATCAGATCATTTTTATTGGGACCTTTTTTTTAAACTTTTTTTATTGAGTTATAGTCATTTTACAATGTTGTGTCAAATTCCAGTGTAGAGCACAGTTTTTCAGTTATGCATGAACATACATATTGAACATATATACATCGTCACATTTTTTTCACTGCGGGCTACCAGAAGATCTTGTATACGTTTCCCTGTGCTACACAGTATCATCTTGTTTATCTGTTCTGCATTTTGAAATCTCAGTCTGTATTGGGATCTTTCTTAATTGCTTTTGGGTAAAACTTGGAGAACGGCTGAATTAAATAAGTAGAAATTATTTTGGATTGGACAGCTACTTACAAATCTGTTCATTTGTGTAGAAATTGTTCGAGTGGGTGACATGAAGAAGATTCATCAGATTGAGCTCATCCCCCATGGCCAGATGGTTGCAGTGATCTCGGGGCGAAGTCGCCACGTGTGCCTGTTTCCCATGTCAGCTCTGGATGGACAAAAGACTGATGTTCACAAACTGGCAGAAACCAGAGGGTGCCAGACCATGGCTTCCGGAACAGTGTGCCAGGGGGCTCAGACGTGCCTCTGTGTAGCTAGGAAAAGCCAAGTCTTCTGCTATGAGCTGTTTCAGAGCCAGAAAATGTCTCACAGGAAATTCAGAGAGCTCCAGACCCCAGCCAACGTCCAGTGGATGGCCGTCTGCAGCGAGCAGCTGTGTGTGGGATTCCAGTCGGGGTTCCTGAGATACCCCTTGAGGAGAGAAGGAGCTCCATGTAGGATGCTGCACGCGCACGACCCGACACTGTCGTTCATTGCGCATCAGCCGGTGGATGCTCTCTGTGCCATTGAGATCTCTAGTATTGAGTATCTGTTATGTTTTAAGAGCATTGGAATTTACACGGACAGCAGGGGCCTCAGATCTAGGCCAACTGAGCTGATGTGGCCAGCAGTTCCAACCTACTGCCGTAAGGCCACCTTGCAATCTCTTTCCTTGTCTCTCTCTCTCTTTCCAGCCTTGTTATTGCAGTTCTATACCCTATGGCCAAATATTGTTAATGATAGGTTCTGTAAAGGTCTTCAATTTATTTATTATTGTATTACTTGTTTTATCTTGGCAGTGGTGGGGAGGTAATTAGGCGTGTTTAATTTTTGGAGAATTGAACCCAGGACCTTGTGCGTGACAAGCATGTGCTCTACCATTTGAGCTATACCCTCCCCCTCTAATGATAGGTTTCATGTACTTAATTCTTTCTTTCTTTTTTTTTTTTGTGGGAGGAGGTGATTAGGTTTACTTATCTATTTAAATTTTTTTTAATGGAGGTACTGGGGATTGAACCCAGGACCTCGTGCATACTAGGCATGCACTCTGCCAGTGAGCTGTACCCTCCCCCATGATGGGTTTTAGTTTTGAAAACAGCATTGCTGAATATGCTTCCTAAGTTGTCTCTGCCTTTTAAGGTGAATAGCTCTAAAGAAGTTATATCTAAGTCTATGTGAAATACCTTAGCCTTTAAGTTTTTACTATATCCGTTGGATAATTTACCTTGACTATATTCTCAAAGTTGTTATCTTTTGCAAGCTCCTAAAAAGGTGTCTTCATGATCAATGAAAATCACAGAGGCATTCATTAACCATAAGGAACAGCTACTAAGTAAATTACTTTTTACCTTATACGTATAATGCTCCTAGATCACTTGAACCCATTTGATGTTTTATTGTTACAGGCCATCATTTTATAAGTTAAATATAGCCTTTTAAAAATTCAGTTAAAGAATAGTCATTGAGCACTTAACGTGAGGCGTTTACCATGGTAAAGGATAAGGGTGCAATATTAAACACGGTAAGATGGACATGGTCTGTGTCATCATGGAGATCACAATCGTGACAGGAGAGCAGTAATTAAGCAGGTGTTGTGACCCAGGAATTCAGCATTGTGCAGAAGCACAGAAGAGGGGCGCGTGGTCTAAACTGGGGGTGTCAGGGAAGGCTGGCTTAAAAAGGAGGAGAGGAGTTTCTTTTTCTTTTGACACTTTAAATATGTCATTCTTTGGTCTTCTGACTCCCATTGTTTCTGATGAGAAATCAACTGTTTTTACTGTCGGCCTTCATGTCTTTTCTGTTTGGCAGCCTTCACGATCTTCTCATTGTCTTTGGTTTTCAGCAATTTGACAATCATGTGTTCACTTTGTGTATATTCTGCTAAGGGTTTTCAAACCTTTCTGGATTTGAAGATTGATACCTCATTCGTTTTGGAAGCACTTTTGGCATTATCTTTTCTTAAAAAAAAACCCTTATTTTCTCTTTCCTGGAGATTCAATTACATGTATGTTAGGCCTCTTGAATTCCTTCCACAAATTGTTGAGGCTCTGATTTTTAAAAACCCTTTTTTCCTTCTCTGTTTCAGTTTGGGTAATTGATACTGACTCTGTCTTCAGTTCTGCTAACCTTTTCCCCCTGTTTTGTCGAGGAATCGATCAGCATTTCAGGCATTACTTTCTTCTGCTCTCCACTTTCAAGTGCTTAAAAAAAATTCCACTTCTTTGCTGAACTTCTCCTCTTGGCTAATTTGTTTATATTTTTCACAAAGTCCTGAACTGTTTCTAAATTTACTTGTAATGATTCCAACATATGGCATCTGTGGGTCTGCTTCTATTAAACTTTTTCTTTTTTTTTTGGATTAAGGATGCTGTTCTCCTGCTTTTTCACATCTGTTTATTTTTATCCATCGCTGGAGGTTATGAATGCTATGATACAGGGACTCTGGATTGTGTTACGTATTTTTCTAGAGAGTGTTCTGTGTTTTGTTCTGATAGGCAGTTGATCTGCTGATGGACTGGTTCAGATTGGCTGAGACTTGGGTTTTGACATCGTTGGGGTGGTTTTCTTTTAGTCATCACAGCCGAAGGATGGCCTTTCTGGGTCTCAGCTGAACGCCCAGGGTTTTCACCCATGTCTCTCCGCTCTGCCTGGGTCAGAAATCGAAAGCCTTTCCAGCACTGTGCTGCCTGTGAAATTTCTGTTCCTCTCTCAGTGCTCCCCGCGGGTGTCGTGGAGTCTTGCTCTGTCCACGTGGAGCTTTGAACTTGGCCCGGAACGTCGAGGGCAGCGCTGCGTGGATTTCTGGGACGTCTTCTGCGTGTGGACGTCTCTTCCCTCTGTGTGCTCCGCCTTGCAGATTTCAGGCCTGTTAGAATTTGTTTCCTCTGCCTGGCAAACGTCAGCTCTCTGCTTAGGCTCCGTTTTCCTACGTAGCAGTTTTGGAGAGTTCCCCTTAGGCAGAAAAATAGGGGCACGTGGAACCCACTTCACGCATTTCTCTTCTTTTAAGGAGGGCAGCCCTGTGCTGTCCATGAATCCATTCTTAGAAAGAGTAATTTTGTACGTTTTGTTTAGTTTTAGAATTATGGATGGTGGGAGGGTGAGTCCAATTCCAGACAGCTCTGCCGTAACTGGAAGAGGCCAGCCACGCTGTGTTTCGTGAGGCGTGGGGTTCAAGTGGAAAGGTTCTTGTGAGCCAGGTCAGAGAAGCACTGACACAGATTTGCATTCAGAAAAATCCCTAGGTTCCAAAGGTGAGATTAAAGATAATGCCAGGTGAGGCTGGAGCCCAAGGGACCAACTGGGAGGCAGGTCACTTTAGAAACTGTGGGTTAAAATTACGTGCGGTAGAGGCAGTTGGGACGGAAAGGAGAGAATCGGAGGGATGTGGAGGAGCTGTAATCGACCAAACTTCACACTTGATCAGAAGCGGAAGCTCAGGGATGAAAGAATCAGGAGGGATTCTCAGCTTTCCTTCTTGAGCAAATGAGTGGATGCCACTGATATTTGCCGAGCTAATAAAACACGAGGTGGAAAGGATTCAGATGGGCGGGAGGGGAACGGATTTGATCATTTAACTTTTCCCCTCATTTGTTGTGTTGTTGAAGTACTTGAAAACAAATCCCAGACATTCTTTTCTATAATATCTATACACTTGAGCATTCATCTCTAAAAATACGGACTTCTTTCTCACCAAACATTGCTGTTATCACCCCTGAAGAAACTACCAGTGAGTCTTGTTTATCACCTAATAGTCCATATTCACATATCCCTGATTATTGCAAAGACATCTCTTTTGACAGTGCATTTCTTGGAATCGGAATCTAAAAATGGTCCATATGTTGCATGTTGTAGTTCTCTCTTAAGTATCGCATAATCTTGGGTGGTGGTCTGTGCCGCTGATCTGTTGTTCCACAGGACTTTCTGCAATCTGGATCTGTCTGTTTCCTCGTGGTGCTTTCTAACTTCTTCCTCGACATCCTGAGTTTTCTACAACTGACAATGAGCTTTGAAGGCTCCGGTAAGAATACTCTAGGTATAATTTTGTATACGTCACGTGGAAGCACGTCAGGGCACACGATGTCTGGTCATCTCACTCCTGGTAATGCTGAAATCAGTGACTGGTTTCTGGCATCGTCAGCATGATTCCTTGGACATGCCGAGTTTGTCCTGCCGGTGCGAGAGTTAAGACAGAGCGAGAAGAGAAAAGGGTGAAGGTCAGAGGACCAAGAAATGCAAATATTAGGAGGATGGTCAGAGAGAAAGAGGCCCATAAAGGAAACTGAGAAGGAGAATTCTGGGAGGCAAGGATCGCTGAGCTGTCAAGTAAGACAAAGACCGAAATGTGTCCATTGATGGTTGATGGCTTGCAGTGAGAGCCATTTTAATGGAGACGTTAAGGCACAGGTCAGATTGCCATGGACGGAGGTGTCGGTAGGGCTGAGCAGTGGAGGACAGGAAAGGTGAATGACACTTTCAAGAACTGGCTACAGGAAACAGGAGAGAGATGGCATCACGTGAGCATAGGAAGGTTTGTTGGTTACACTGCTGTTGTTTTAATGGGGAGATATATTCATGGTGAGGTGAGTGTTTAGGACTCATAAAGAGTTGTTATTAATAAAATAGAAAGTTCCAAAAAATGTCACTGGCTGGAAGTTTTCACTGCTTTGTTCATTAATTTCACTCTCCACACATACTTTTTAAAAATTAAAAAAAATTTTTTAGAATGTTATAATTTTATAATATACATAATATAATTTTAGAAGAGCCATCAGCAACAGCAGAAATTTCCCAGTTGTGTTTTATAATTTCATGTCCACATTTTCATTCTTGTTTATTCTTTCTTTCTTTCTTTTTTTTTTTTGACACGCACTTTTTAAATCTCATACCGTACTCTTCTTGTGAGCCGACCTGGTTTAGCTGCTACAGATTTTGAAATGTTATGAAATGACTTAAAGCTGCTGTTAGATGAAGATGTTCGGGAGATTTTTGTAATTTGACCCACGTGCACCATTTATTTGCTGTTTTTATTTATGTCAGCCTTGTCTATTTAAAAAAAAGATTTTGAGGCAGCTACTCTATGATAATTAGAATATTATCATGAGAGTCTCTTCAATTTCCAACCTGATGGCTTTTTTTTTCCCAATGTATATGGGCTTAGCAGATATAATTAATCACGAATACTGTGTGATTTGATTTATAGAACATTTTTGAAATGACAAAATTTTAGAAATGAGTACAAGTTATACTGATTCCCAGGGATTAAGGAAGGAGGGGGAGGTAGAAAGGAGATAGACGGGATTATCAAAGGGCACCATTAGGAATCCTTGAAACTGTTCTGTATCTTGACTGTGGCGCTGGGTATAGGAACTTACACAGGGGATAAAATCGCATCGACCTTCATAAACACACACACACACGCACACTAGTGTTAGTAAAACTGGGAAAATCTGCCTGAAGATGAATAGATTAGCTCTATCAATGTCAGCATGCTCGTTTTGCAAAACGTTACATTGGGCAAAACCAGGCAGAGTGAGCAAGAGATCCTTCTGTATTATTTCTTACAACTGCATGTGAATCTATAATTATGCTAATGAAAATTCCGATTGAAAAAACGAACCATGAAGCCCACGCTTGCTGTCGCTTCCTCCCCTTCTCCCAGGTTACAAGGCCCCGTATCTCTCGGTGTACAGTGAAAACGCGGTGGACGTCTTTGACGTGAACTCCGTGGAGTGGATCCAGACCATCCCCCTCAAGAAGGTGATTTGACCTTGAGACCATGTGACTGATGAATTACAGACGGAAAACGGAGGCAGGCCTTCTCTGCTGTGCATTTGCTGGGCTTGCTAACGAGTCCTTGGTCATTTGGAGGCTTAACTAAAAGTAAAACTAGCCAACCGAAATCAAATTGGCTAATTTTATTACTAGTACAAGAGCTATTTTGCGATATTTAGTTGCATTATTCAAAGTAGGATTGTCATGATATAAATAAACGTACTGTTTATACAGACAATATAAGATGAAAATTTACATTATACAATATGGATGTTACCTCCCACATTCAGTTTAGTTGCTTGTATGTATCACTAACGTTCACTTGGAATAATCTTGCATCCTGAGAAGGTAAATTTTACTGGCAAAAAAAAAAAGGAAAAGTATATTACCAAAGCTGTGTTTTAGGATTCTCAATCAGGATTTCACAGATTCACAATAAAATAAAAAAAATTTCTATCTCTACCACAAATAATTTAAAATACAGATAAAAATTTAAAAGTAAAAAAACCCTGCTATTTCGTTAAGAGCCAACTGAAGTGGTTTAATGGAATTCATCAAACCACCGAAGGTTTAAGAATAATTAAATTCTGGAACATGTGGCCTGTACACAGCATGACTCATCCAGAAGGAGCTGATGCAGGAATAGGATGGACGAAATAGTCACAGTTACGTGTGAGATTTTGCTCCACTTAATTTTTTTTCCCCAGGGAGATACACACAAAGTTGACAGCGTTTTTATTTATTAACACTTGAGAGTCCACAGTGACTCAGGGGAGGAGAAATCGTACAGAGGACCCACATGGAGTTTATCTTCTGATGTTTGATGGAAAAGTCTTATTTGCATCAATATCTAGAAGTGAGATCGGAACGTGTTTCCTTTTCGTTGTATGTTATCTTGGTCAGGTTGGAGTGTCAGCATTATGCCGAGTTCACCAAAAAAGGTTGGAGCCCCTCCTTTTAGGTGCCCTGGAAGATTCTGCTCCACTTTAAACCACATCAGCAGTGGGAAAAGCTTTTGTAAGGACTGTCCCACTGTATACAACATTAAAATACACATTTCCAGCATTCTAAATATGAATCAGTCACATTTGCTGTTTGATACAATGAATTCACAAGGCAGATGCATCTCAGGATAAACTTTTAGTTACTAATAACTTTTAAAAAGTCATTTTGGAAATTAAATGTATTTCTATTCAAGTCAGTAATGTTCCAATTTCTTTAACCTAGGGTATTCAAATTTCTGAAACTTTATCAATATGAGTTTTTAACACCATTTATTCCCTTTGAGTGATATTTTTCTGTGTTTCTTTTGAGACACCGTTATTTTGAGGGGGCAGTTTAAATAGACTATCCTTCCACTTAATTTTTTATGTATAAACAAATAGTCTCACAGCTTAATTTTTCACAAGTTTGTGTTAAGATGGTAACCGTGTCTTTTGTTATTTTAGGTTCGACCCTTGAATAGTGAAGGATCCCTAAATATTTTACTTTTGGAGACAGTTAGATTAATATATTTCAAAAATAAGAAGACAGGTAAGAAACAACTTCTTTTTAGTAGACCTGTTGCTAAGAACCCACACCTCTAGCTGACGGCCCTGGGCCGCAGAGCCAGCGAGGGGAGAGGGCCTGTCAGTGGCACCTGGGCCCTTCACTGCCAGACCGGGATGTGCTCATGACGAAGGGTGGCTCTCTTTTATCCCCAGATAACTTTGTAGATAAAAGCACTGACTTGTGGCACACTCCAGTTACTTTTTTTTTAATTTGAGGTAAAATCAGTTTATAATATTTTGTTACTTTCTGGTGTACAGCACAGTGGTTCAGTTTACACACATGTATGTTCCTTTTTATATTCTTTTTCATTATAGGTTATGACAAGGTATTGAATATAGTTCCCTGTGCTGTGCAGTAGGACCTTGCTGTTTATTCATTTCGTATATGGTAGTTAGTGTCTGCAGATCTCAAACTCCCCATTTATCCCTCCATCCTCCCCTTTCCCCGCTAGTAACCAGAAGCGTGTTTTCTATGTCTGTGAGTCTGTTTCTGTTTTGTAAATAAGTTCATGTGTGTCCTGTGTCTAAATGTCCTCTTTTTATAAGGGCACAATCATATTAGCTTAGGGCCCATCCCATGACCTCATCTTAACTTGACCATCAGCAAAGGTCCTAATTCCAAATAAATTCACGTTCACTTGCCTGAGGGGAGGGGTTAGGACTTTAGAATCTTTGGGGAGGACACCACTTAACCCACCACAAGCTGCTTTATTTTCTTTCTGGAGTGTAAGACAGTTTTGCGGGTTTCTGAGTGACAGGTCTGTTGGTTTCTAGATGTAAAGACCTAAAGTAGAGCTGGTCGTGGGCTTGCGGGTTCTAAAGACGATGGAAGGAGGCAGCGCGCAGAGGCTCTCACCTCCAGGAGAAATGCGTTGCTTGGTTACAATAATTGCAAAAAGTTTCATCTGCACAATGATCGCCCTTTACACTTTACCCTGCCACGTAGCAGACGATTTTGATATCCTTTAGTGACAAAAACCAGTAGGAGAAAAACGCAGCACAGAAATAAGAGGGCAAATCAAAGTGGAAAGAGACCAAGACGACTGTTCCTCCTTCTAGTGACATGATGTCGTCTTAGAGATAAATGTCACGCAGGATTTGTTTTTAAGGATGGCTTCAAATGAATGTGAAATTCTGTTCGTGGACGCTCTGTGTATACTCTTGATAAATTCGCCACAGTCGTCCATCTCTAACTTTAAAAAACCAGAGTGGTGTGACATGTGTGCATTTGTGGGATTCACGTGAGAAAACATAAGGTTAAGGGATGGGAGATGGGAGGCATCTTAACAGTTTAAAGGAGGCCATTGTTTTGTCTGTTTTAAAATACGTGTAGATGGAGATGAGCTGGTGTTTCCCGGACCATCAGAGAATCCTCAGAAGCAGGTGACCCGACACGTCTGCGGCAAGCGGCTTTCCTCCTCCAGGGTCCCCAGAGGGAAAGCGAAGCCGTCCTCGGGGCTGTGACTTCACCCCCTCGCGTGTGGGCCGGGGGGGCCCACCCGATGACCCCGTGGTGTCTGCTGTAATTTGGAAGAAAAGGAAAGAAATAAACCTATGGAGCTCGGGCAGAGACATCTGTTCGCAGCAGCGCCGTGTTTATTTTTGGGTGCGACTTTAAAGAAAACCTTTAAGAATGGAAGTGGCCTGCGTTTCTTTGTGAAGGTGGAATGACTGAAATTCGGCATGTGAGCCGCTGCGTCATGCAAACAGAGCGTCCGTCCCTCAGTCACTTTGCAAAGGAACGAACACTCTTGCGCTGCACGTGGATTGATTGCTCTCTGACCCTGAACGTGCCTGCCTTTGACTCGAAGAGAACCTTTGTTAATGAGCCATCACTCAGTGGTAGTTTCTATAACTGAATAGGTAGAAAAATATGCTGACCTTCTTTGGATTACAAATAAAAACATTCTCAGAGTAACGCTGGTTCTTCTAAAAGTTACACAAAAATATACATAATAGGACGAAGCTTCTCTGATGTCTGTGGCGGTTAACGGCCGTGTGATTTCAGTCAAAAACTTCAAGATATGTAATTTAAAAAAGTATCTGGGGAGCGTAGAATTACTGAATCGTCTCTCCAGCCACCACATTAGTACTTGGCCAGAGCTGCCAGCTGCCCTTGAAAAAGTCACCAGCACCATTTTGTCTTCGTCTTTTGAAGTTAATTGCAGGGGCAGGTTTGCTGATTAATATTTCAAGTAATAATCTGTAAGAAAGTAGTACTTTCCAAAGTGGAGCTGAGGGCTTTGTCGTCTCAAACACGAGGATTCCTGAAGTCTTCATCTAAATGGGTGTCTTCCATCCTTTCACTCTTCCATCGTCAGAGGAGAGGTGGAGCTGGGGTCGGCCGCCCCACCCGACACGGGTCTGTTCTCGCGTCGAAGGGTGGAAACAGGAAGTCGTTCCCAGGCATGTGTTTGATTTTGAGGTATTTCTGTGTGTGCAGTAACTCAGTCCGGTCACTTCTGAACTTTTTTCCATGAACGATGCCTGGGGCTCAGAGGGGAGCTGAGCATCCACCCCAGCTGGGTGCCCACAGGTGGCACAGGTAGTGAAAAGAGGACACATCGGCAGACTGCACAGCCCACCTTACCTTCAGCAGCACGCCCTGTGGAGCTGACTTACACCTCAAGTTGCAGGCAGCAAGGTGGTGTGAGCCAGTGCCCCTCCTCCATCGGGAAGGTGTCAATAGAGCCAGGAGGGAGCTGGACTTCTTGCCCACCCTTCAGCAGCATGGCAATGGGAGTCACCATGCCGATTTTGCCTGGGTGGTGCCAGCAAGTCCTTGTAGGGTGCTGAACATACACACCTGCCTGGCTCTCGTGCTGTTCCTCAGTGTAGGGCCTGTCTGCTAAAATAGGACATTGAATAACATCCAGGGTCTCTAACATAACGCCCCAAATGTCCAAGACACAACGGAAAGTCACTAGTCACGCTGAGAACCAGGAGAGCCACAACTTGAATGAAAGAAGTCCATCCATCAACAAACACCCACGTGGCAAGGAATCAGATGTTGGAATTACCCGACCAAGATTTTAAAGCGGACATCATGAAAACACTTCAAGAAGCAATTATGGATTCTCTTGAAACACATTTAAAAAATAAAATATCAATTAAAAAAAACCCCACAAGTTGTAATAAAGACTCAAATGTTACAGAACATAAAAATGCAATAAAAACAAAGCAAACGCTCTCTGGATGGCCTCAGTAGTAGTGTGGAGGTGACAGAAGATAGAATTGGGGAATTTTAGGACAGAGTAACAGAATGTAACCAGTCTGGAAAACAGAAAACAGACTAGGGTAGAAATGAAGAGTCTCAGAGACCCACACGGCTACAAAAACAAGAACTAACGTGCATATTACTGGAGTCTGAGAAGGGGAGGTGAGAGGATGAGAGAGACTAGAAGAGTATTTAAGGAACCAATGGCCACAAACGTCCCAAATTTCGCTAAAGACCCAAACCTATACTTTCAAAGGCAGAACAAAACCCAAATAGGTTGAGATCGATCAAGATGTGAGAGTAGGAAGACGTGGGGTGATCTTTGCGGCTAAGCATGGCCTGACCCCAGCCGCCTCCCTGCCTCTCTCCCTTCCCAGCCCTCAGCTGGGGGTGGGGTGGGGAGACGTAATTAGGTTTGTTTATTTATTTATTTATTATTTATTTATTAATTTACTTTTAATGGATGTACTGGGGATTTTTAAAAATTTTTCTTTTATTGAGTTATAGTCAGTTTACATTGTGTCAAAGTCCAGTGTAGAGCACAATTTTTCAGTTATACATGAACATATATATATTCACTGTCACATTTTTTTTTCGCTGTGAGCTACCCCAAGATCTTGTATCTATTTCCCTGTGCTGTGCAGTGTAATCTTGTTTATCTATTCTGCATATGCCTGTCAGGATCTACAAATCTCGAACTCCCAGTCTGTCCCTTCCCACCCCGCTCCCCTCTGGCAACCACAAGTCTGTATTCTATGTCTATGAGTCTGTTTCTGTTTTGTATTTATGTTCATTTGTCTTTTTTTTTTCTTGAGCCCAGGACCTCGCGCCTGCTCAGCACTCACTCACTCACTCTACCACTGAGCTATACCCCCCCAGCTCTCTTTTAATTTGGAAATGACAGTTGCACTCCATGAATATGAAACAGTAAACCTGAGCAGGCAAAAATGAAACATTCATGTATTTCATCATGCAGTGTTTGGTTTTTTTTTAGCAAAATGCACTTTGGAATGGGTAGAAGTGTAGGTGTGCGTCCTAACGGCTATGCTCCACGGCAGTTAGACCCTCAGTGGTAAGGTCGCAGATCGCTGAGCAGTGTTGCTTCGCACACACCAATCAGGTGTTTTTATTTCTTTCTCTTTCTGCTTTGTTGTCTGTTAGTGTTCACTTTATCTCTGATGGTTTGTGGTTGAGCGTCATCGAGCCGCCTCAGTGATTACAGCTCTAGACCTCCAGCCATCCCATCCTTCTGTGTCCTAGACACGGTTTCTGGCATTGGATTGGAATTCAGCAAATATTTGTCGAATAAGTGAATGACTCCCTTTCCGCTTCTCGCCAGCTCTGGTCTGGTGGTCTGCGGCTTTTCTCTCTGAGTATTGCACAGGCCCAGGTGACAGTCTGGGGCCAGCTTGTTGCCTCAAAGCTGGCCTCTGCACCCCAGAAGATGGATTAAGACTCAGAAGCAGAGCTGGGGGAGAATCCGAGAAGAGCAGCTTGAGTGCCTGGCCAGGCAAAGGGGGGTCAGCACGGGCTAATGCCTCAGAGGCTGTGAATCCGTCTGGGGTCGGGGTCTTGAGGTTTTACAGACAAACTGGGTGGAACAGAAAAGGTGATAGCCACCGGGGCATTTTACAGGGTGCTGCATTCCCTTTAAGCTCGAGGAATCTGGGGCTCTGGAGGGTCCGTCCAGTCTTCGGAGCTTATCAGTCTGTTACCTCCTTCCCGGAGCGTAGCCCCTGGGTTCAAGCTATTCTCAGCAAAGGATGAATCAGCAAACACTTTCAGGATCAGGGAAGTCAGTGTGTGAGCTGGCTTCCTACTCCTTCAGACTGGCTGAGGTTGAAGCATCCTCCGCCCTGTGCTCTGGAAGTCACCCTCCTTCCTCACTGATGAAGAGCCCGGGTCAGGCTCAGGTGGAGGAGGGAAGGCGCACGGGAGTGTGGAGAGGACCTGGACCCCAGCGTGGGAGCATCTCCAGTCCCCTCTGCCCAGCCGGGGCCCCGGGACCCGCACGTGGGAGGGGGAAGCCAGTGTGCAGGGCATCCTGAAAGCATCCCTTCCCACCACTGCCAGTGCAGGAAATGCTCCCAGTGGATTTGGAACCAGAAGAATAAAATCCTGCCATTTCTGTATTTTCCGAAATGAACATGTCCGGCTTTTATAAACAGAAAAACAATGATTAAAACACACCACACACACAGCCTCCCGTAAGTCTTAGGAAAGCAGAGCTGGTGGGGAGGGTAAGAGGTGTTCGATATTTTTCTGCGTCATGTTCTTTTCAAAAGCTGTCAGAATTTAACTCCAGGAAATGGAATGCTTTAGATTTTCGGGAATATAAAGCTCCACACATCACAAAATATTAAAATGTGCCCGACGTGTTACAAACATGGAAATGTCTAGTCCGTGTGTCTTTGCGTGTGTGTTGTGTACGTCTAGCTGCTTCGGTGGTTGACGATTCTTTGAAAGATCTTTAATGTGAATTTCATTTTGGGTTGCTTGTAATGAAGCATTTCGCCACTAGGTGGCGGTGTCGCGCAGCGCCTCGCCTGTGCTGCCCAGGCAGGACCTGGTTACATGCGTGATCGGCGGATGCCTGCTGGGCCAGCGAATGGATGACAGATGCCAACAGCGCTTAATGCCATGACTCTCGTCATCTCCTCCTCTGTCATCATTATCATCACCCAGCGAGGCTGCCCGGGGCCTCTGCGTGCAGCGGGGCACGTTGGGCTCTCCTGGGCCTCTGCCTCCTTGGCTTCCGCCAGGCACCACTCAAAACAGTACAGATCTGACTACAATACACCTGTTTTCAATGTATTTTTTTGAGGCTATGCCCCTGGGATCCCTCCTGTTGACTGAAAGAAAATGCACAGCCTGAAAGCTAGAGTTGTATTTCGTTCAGCGGACTTTCTGAGGACTCAAGCCAGAGACACAGCCTCTCGGATCGCTCGAAGTGTCCGTCCGTTCCAAGGAAGGGAGAAGCCAGGGTATGTAAGCTTTTGCAACAAAGCCCAGGTATTCGGAACATCAAGATTAGTGTTAATTAAAGGAAACCAGCTATCTCAAGGTAAGGAACGTAACACTCATCTGCCTATGGGGAGGTGCAAAGGTCTGGGCTCATTGAAATCACTCCTCTGATACGCACTTAGCTGTCCAGGGCCAGCGTCCTGCTCTTTCCCATCCTGAGTCCCCTCGGGGGCACCGCTGGGGCGGCTGCAGAGGCCGGGCTGCCTGCCTGTCCCCATCCTGAGTTCGCTCTGCTCGCTGTCTGGGGTGGCGGTAACCCCTGATGAC